TCTGCCTATCTATGAAAAATATATATTAAAATACATTTAATTGATAAAATAAAGAAAAAATTATATGGAAAAACAGTTAAATGATCCTCTACAGTAACTCCAGCCAATATAATACAGCCAGAAAATAACTCCAACATTACATTTTCTTATTAATACACAATTCAGCGTGCGAAATTAATAGATACGTGTTTGGTGAAAAGTTTGTTTATAAGCCCGATAAGATGAAAAACAGAGTCACCAAATGAGCTCAAAATACCTCATTCAGTCATTTTATTTGTTCATCATCAGCGTTTCTAATCTATGTAGCAGCGTACGGGTACGCGGAAACGCAGAAACGCAGAACCGGGTACGAGGATAGACAAAATAAAAAAAGTAGGATACAAACACGGGGACATATTTACAAATATTAAAATTTATGGGGGTGTATTTATCAATATTAGAAATTACGAGTGTGTATTTATAAAATATTCCCAAGAACTTTTTGAAAATACATACATATATATCCTCTAACCTCTGTCCATTCATGACATTGGTTTAATGCATCAAACCACATCGTGAAATATATATTCGGCGCATTAGTCATGTGATTTAAAAAATGCGTCAAACCCCCATGTGTTAAGTTATTCATGTGCAAAATCCCTTCTATGAACAAATTTAATTGTCAAAAATGGAAAATGATTAGTTTTTTTGTATAATTTAGAAATTTTTACATAGTTACTTGCATATTTAATCATATTATTCAGAAATGTGATTTTAAAATTGAAAAATTTGTTCTCAGAGGGGGGTTTGCGCATGAATAATTATAACACATGTGAGTTTGACACATTTTTTAAATCACACGAGTTTAATGCGTCGAATTCATATTTCACGAGGGACTTCGGTGCATTAAACCTTATGTTGAATCATTTTACATCATCAAGATAGTTAGAAATAAATTCATTCTTTATCTCATATACACTAGTGCATCTCAAAATATTAATATAGTCGATAAGTCATTAATTTAAAATGATAAATGAATCAAATAACTACAATTTTGAAATTAAAAGTGAAAGTGCTCAAAGTTATTGGATAATAGAGATAGAAAATAATACTCTAATAATAAAAAGCTAAAAGTTCTAACACATATTTCCAATAGAGCTACTAATTTTCATGGATGAAATTATTTTTCAAAAAGGCAACCTCCAATTCTTATTCATCTATGGAAAGGTCGGCGAAATCAAGTCATGCTCTCAAAGTCATCTCCAACACATCCCACAGTTTATTTGATGTCCAAGAAGAAAAATCGGAGAATACCAAACATCGAAATCAACGGGCCCGAAAGGTCCAACAGGCCCAAATCACAGCGCCCAGAATACCAAGCAGCCCGCACTACGCGCCAGGGGTGCCTTCGGCCCCCCCGGCCGAAGGCTCTAATTCTCACAAAACAGATTTTTCAAGCAAACTAAGAAACTGGGGGAAAACGACGAAAACAGTAGCCCTCGGTACTGTGAGCCCTCGGCACCAAGGTGCCCGGGAGCCACACTTATTGGTGTCGGGTCCAATGGCCGGGAGGAGCTGGCTTCCCCGGCACCCCGGGGGGGAGGAATGGCAACCGTCACCTTCAGCCGCTCCCTCTCCTCTTCCTGCTCGGCGGTTTGCACGGCAAGGGCAAGCTCCTCATCCTCGTTCTCTTGCTCGAAGCCCTCGGCTTCGACTTCGGCCTGGAGGTCCTTCTCCACTTCCATAGCCACTGCGGCATCATCAGCTGCCGAGGACTCCACACTCGAAGACTCCACATCTGAGCATGTCACCATCTCTACCGAAGGCTCCCCCGAAATATCTTGGGAATCACTCTGGGACGACATGCTGACTCTGGTTCGAAGGCTCGCGGACACTAGTGTTTTCTAAATTTTCTATCTCCTAACCTAAGGGCACAGTACAGGTAGCTAAGAGGCTGAAGGGCAAGGGGAGAACTGACCTTAAGAACGGAGGATTCAACCGAGGGCTGCTGTTTCTCTCTCTAGAAAAATTGGCAGAGCTTCGCTAACAAGTTTTTCGCACACAGAGGAATGCCTGGCCTTGGGGTATTTATAGGCGCTGGAATCCGGGCTTGGGCCTGGGTTCCGGGCCTCCGGATGGACGCCATCATTATTCACCGCGTCTTCGCCCAACCGGTGACGCCGCCCACGGACAGCCAGCCATCACACGCCACGTGTGCCCCCCCCAACGGCTATATCCCGTCGTTACATATTCCAACGGCTATATTTCCAACGGCTATATTTTGGAAGCCCCCGGGTTTTCTACTTCACTCCACTTCATCAAAGATAGCCTCCGGGTGCACTCACCCAGAAGTGCCCCCGGGTTGTGCCCACGCAGCACATTACACACGCCTTCGGGATCACCCCTTCAGATCCCTAGGGCTGCATGTCAGGGCACCCCTCGGGGTTTCCCCCTCAGCACTGCAAAACCGAGTAGCCCCCGGGGTGTGCCCCATTGACGGATGGCCCATGGCACACAGGTAATGGGAGCCCTCGGGTATCTTCATCACCAACTCATCAACAGACTGTGGACCCCCCGGCAACAACCTCACTGCTGCCCTCATCTGGCAGGCCCTCGATCCCTGGATTGAGGGGCACCCCTTCGGCACCACCAGGACAGCAACAGCAAGCCTTCGGCTAATCAACACAGGAGCCCTCAGAGGAGATAGCCTTCGGCATTCCCGTCATTCCCCACTTTGTACCAAGGTTTGACATTTTCGATTCATCATTGGGGGAATTCGGTGCACTCTTTTTCCCTCATTAGGATTTTTTCCCAAAGGGTTTTTCCTAATGAGGTTTTTAACGAGGCATCCCCCCGAAATGAAACGAAAAGCGTCAGCCTTCGGCCCACAACGGCAACGTAACTACTTTACTCCTTTCCACCACTTTACAAGTGCCTCAAGGAGTGGGGGACTGGAGGACCCCTTCGGGAAAAACATTAAATTACAAAATCTGTGAAATTCCAACAAACAACAAAGCAAGCCCTCAAGTCCCGACATGTGGGTAACTGAGGGACTGCCTTCGGCAGGGACATAAAAGCAACAACTCCTCACCAACCTCAGAGATCACAACGGGACAACATCAAAGGGCAAGCACAAATTACTCCTTTTCCCTCAAGTACCTTTCGGCAAAAGGAGTGAGGGACTCCTGATGGAGTATATGGCCCGAGAACCCCCGGCCCACAGACTCCTACTACTCCAGCAAAAGGCCCAACGGGCCCGAAAGGTCCAACAGGCCCAAATCACAGCGCCCAGAATACCAAGCAGCCCGCACTACGCGCCAGGGGTGCCTTCGGCCCCCCGGCCGAAGGCTCTAATTCTCACAAAACAGGTTTTTCAAGCAAACTAAGAAACTGGGGGAAAACGGCGAAAACAGTAGCCCTCGGTACTGTGAGCCCTCGGCACCAAGGTGCCCTCGGTTGAAGGAGCCTTCGGCTACTGCTCTATGGCCGAAGGCATCTCACTCGACAAGATATCCGCCTCACAATACGTACAGATCACCGTACTCTGCACAGACGTCCCATCCAACAGCCGCATTAAATGCGGCCACATGCGGCTGCCAGCGCCAACCAGTTGAGGTGACCCCTCGGCCAATGAGCGCTTGACACGTGTCCCCGTCCGGCATTTATTGCTGCTATAAATAGCCCTCCATTTCCCCATTTGTAACCACGCTGAAAACGCTCCACATTTATAATACACTCTCTCTCTATATATCTACTTGCTCTGACTTCTCTCTAAGTTATTCCCCGTAGTAACCCTTCGGATATATACCCCCGGGTAGACTATCCATCAATATACTTAGCTGTGTACGAGATTAAAGCAAGGTAAAATTCATTTTTAGTTTTTCATTTTTTTAAGAATTTATTATGTAAATTTCAAGAGTTTTTTTTATGAAAAAAATTGATACATGTATCGTTCATGATACGAGTATCCCAAAATTTTAAAATATTACAAAAAAAAATGAAAACTTTTAATAAATTACAGATATAACTCAGGAATGTTTGGTACAGATATCCTGAATTATCTGATACTCCGTACTAGAATGTTTTCGATAGCCTCATACATTATCAAGTATTCACGTGATTTCTAATTCCATATAAATAAAAATACAATAATGCTTGGGGTACACAAGTTGTACACAACTTGTACACAAAATGTCGGTCACAGACAATTGGTACGAATTGTCTGTGGACACAGACAAGATTTGTCTGTGTATACAGACAACTTTTATCTGTGTCCGCAGACATTTATTTTTTTGTAAAAAGTAGACTGACAGCCGTCTGACACTGACACCAGCTTGCAAATCAATCAATATATGTGCAGTGCCTGTGTGCATAGACAATATTTTCATGTTGCACAGACAATATTTACCACACAGACAATAGTTGTGCGTCTCACAGACAATAGTTGTCTGTGTTATCAACTTTAGTTATCAGTGTAATCAATTTCAATTGTCTGAGTGAACAAAAAAATTAATTGTCTATATATATCCAAATGAATGATGTAGTTGTATGTGTGATAAATTTACATGTAATTTGAAAAAAATAAAAATTTAATAAAAATAGATGGAATAAAATGAATAAGCTTATTTTGTGCAAATAATACAAAAAAATTGATATAAAAAGGTAGAGAAAAAGAGAATGAAGAAAGGATGCCGAAGATGAAGAAGGCAAGATAAGATGGTCTCTCATTTTTTTGAGATATTCCAAGGGAGGAAAGAGAGAAGGGAGGGGGAAAAGAGTAGAGAGAGAGAAGGGGAGAAGTAAACTAGATTTTTTTGGGACCTTTTAAATGGGTACACTTTCTGTTTTCCACTTAGCATTTTCCATAAAAATAACAACGTATGTCATTTCAGAACGCCCACTACCATGATGCACTAAAAAAGCTTGAAAAAGTTTATGAAAGGCGACCACAAAAAGATGCACCAAGGGAAAAGTTTACGACCTTACCACTATATAAGGGCATCCATCATCAAGGATTCATCGTTCGGATTAACTTCAAAGCAAATTACATTTGTTCTAGATTCATCATTCAAAGCAAATTACAGAAGTCCCATAATCCCATTCCCAGCCCCTAAAGAAGCCATTGGAGAACAGAAAAAGGCCTCTAAATATATAAAATGAAGAACACCAAGGTCACAGGGTTCGTTAAGCAAGTGATCTCACTACTAACCGCGGTGGTAAAGTCCAAATCAGACGCCGTTCGAAGCAAAACCGGAGCGATTAAAGCTCGAATCCAGCTCTTCTCCCTGCTGAAGTCCCGGAAGTTGTGTCTGCAGGGCCGGAACGGCGTTGGATCCATCTCTAATAAGATCCACGCCTTGCTGGGGCAGCACGCTCATTGCGAAGACGGCGAAGACGAAGATACCGCCGTCAAGTCCCCCGCGGCAGTCTCCAACAGTGACGCCGCAGAGTCGGAGTCCGGTGAGGCGATTAGTGGCGAGGATCGGTCTCTGCTCGAGTACAATTACCAGGAGGAGGAAGAGGACGATAAGTATCCGGATCTGAGGCACTCTCTGTTCGAGGAGGAGGGAGACGATGAGATGTTGGGGGATCCGAACGGGTCGGCGATAGAGATGGTGAGGAGTTCGAAGGAGGAAGGAGGAGAGGAATTCAGGCTGGAAGACGAGATCGACAACGTCGCCGACTTGTTCATCAGGAAGTTCCATAAACGTATGCGGCTGCAGAGGCTTGAATCTCTGAAAAGGGTCCGGGAGATGCTTCAGAGAAGCACTTAATTAGCATATATCCTTCAATCAACTCTGCTTTGGCGCGGGTTTTTTCAAATGTGTTCTTTAATTGCTTTTATTTTGGGAGGAAGTATTATTAACTGCTCATATGCGATTGTATTATTAATCGATACGAGTTCGTCTTACTCTTTTTAGTTCATTAATTAATTAATTAATTAATAGGATGTTTGGTGTAGATGATTTCATGAGGCAATAGAATAATGGTTGTTATTCATAAATTATTACTCTTGTGATCGAGTTGAATGAATGAATAGAAGTTGATTTTGATCGAGGATGTTTTTAATTGAATTCAATTTTTTATGTGTATCCAATTTGATTTAGCGGTGGACGTGTTAATTTGGTTTAATGTTTAACTGAATCAATTGAATTGAAAATGAACTATATGCAGATTTATTTGAGTTTGATAATATTTCTTTGAAACATTATTAAACAAATCGAATTGTCACTCATAAAAAACGAAAAAATCTAAATTGAACTAATTTTTTTTTAAAAAAACTTTCATATGTTATTAGACTAAATATTCTCATTAACGATCATTTGATAATACCAAATATTCTCACTAACGATGCATGTCGTATAATAACAATTCGCCTTCATTTTCTGGATGATGACCCTCTGCACGTAATTGTATCATAAATAAAAAGTATTAAACCTAAAAACGAAGTTGATCAAGTAATTTTGTCATGTAGTACATACCACAAATGTTAATATTTAGGATAATTATATCACAATCCCTAGTTTACTATTCACAATAACCAATTGTATTATTGTTGTAAATAAATGTAAATCAAAAGAATACTCTCAAACCCAAATGTCATCTTAAACCGATGATGATCACCCACACTTTGTTTATAATCATTACAATTTAATTATACTAATATAGGGGAATCCTCAAATAGGATTTCATGGAAATTTAAAGGATTGTTAGAATTCCATAGAACTCAGTTGTCCTCGATGTGGAGTTCCGTGGAATCCTGCAAAATCCAGCATTCCTAAAAAAGTCCATGGATTCTTTACTCTTGGATTCTTAAGGATTTCTATGGATTTCAATATAAAAAATAGAAATTGGTTCAAATAGGACTAAAACTATGGCAAAAACCTAAAATAGGACTTGCTGTGTTTTTATTCCAAAATAGGACCATATGAGTCCTATTGGAAACATACCTATTTTTGCATTCCATTCTTACCATTCCATAAAATATGAATTAAAAATAGTCAAAAGCCATAATTAAATGTTTAATTCATAATAAATTCGAAAAAATTCAAAAATTTGTAGAAATATAATTAAAAAATTTATAAAATTTTTATAAAATAAAAAATTCAAAAACTTTTTTTTTAATAATTTTATTTTTTAAAAAAATAATAAAAAACAGTAAAACTCCGTAAAAAAAATTTAAAAAAATATGGATGCCTTTCCCACCGCCTGTACTACCTCCCAGCACCACCACCTCCGGCTGATGAAAAAATGCCATTTTCCCAGAAAAATGTCATTTATTTCTGAAAATGCCAAAAAAATGGCATATTTCTCTTTTCGAATGCCAGCATTTTCATTTTTTCTGCCATAAATATGGCATTCGTAATGAACTTGGCATTTTTTTCCCCTGGTGACTGGAGGTGGTGCTGCTGAGGCGGCAGAGGCAGCGAGGATTTTTTTTTGAGTTTTTATTTATTTTTATTTTTTTTTAATTTTTTTAATTTTTTGAAAAAAAAAATATTTAAATTTTTAATATCGAAATGTTTTTCTTAATTTTTTAGTATTTTTTACGAATTTTTATTATTTTTTATTATTTTATTAGGAATTAAAACATTTTAATAGCTATAAGGGTATAATTGTCCAAGGTACACATAATTAGTCCTATGCAAACACATTTTATTTTTTGGTCCTATTTGTGAAAAGTGAATGACTTTTAGTCCTATTTTGATAATTAACTCTATAAAAAAGCAAAGGAAAGAATATTGCCCAAAATCTCAGCATGTCCTTCGAATTTCGACGGAGTTCCCCTCGAGAAGTGAATCAAAGCAAGAAGCGGTTTATTTCCATGTGACTCACCGGCTACATAGAGTTTTTCCCCAAAATAGTGCTACATAACAAAATATTTACCAAATTGACGTGTGGTTAAGAGTATTTCCCATACTACTGCTACAGACCTACAGTTGACTGTGGTTGGAGAACGGCCAACTGAGTCGTTGGCTTGGGCGAAATTAAGAGTCCGTAGAACCGTAGGAGTGCACGGAAACTAGTCTGGGTCCCACCACAAAGAAAAAATTTCTAATTATTTTGAACTGTTATAATTTTTTTATTTGTACTCCGATTGTTATGAAAAATATATCAAAAATTATAATTTTTTATTATCTTTCATATGACACCAATGTTGCATATATAAAAATAAAAAAATAATTTTGCACTTTAATTTTTTTTTTTGAAGTGATATACTCCGTAACATTTTCATTTGTAATCCAACTATTACAAAAAGGGAAAAATAACTAAAATACTCAAACTTTGTACGGAGTATATAAAGTTATTTTGGCACCTAAGACAAGTATTAATTCTTTCAAAAATGTAAATTTATGGTGTTAATTGCATAATTTAAAACATTTTAGAAATCATGAAGACACAATTAACATTATAAACTTCCATTGCAAAATAAATAATGTTATCCTCATTCTATATAATTGCAATACTTTTAATTTTCTATTTTAAATAGTGCAATTAACCCCATAAATTTACAATTTTGAAAGAGAAAATAAATAACAATGGTGTGAAAATAACTTTTTATATAAAGTTTGGTGTATTTAAATTACATAGGCAAGTTTGGGATGCTCACTTCGCACCCCATCAAAGTTTGAAGTATATTTACTCTTTTTCCCTTACAAAAAGTGTATATGAATTCATAATATTTTATTACTTAAAAAAGTATATACAAATAAAAATAATAATTTAACACTTAAAGAACTTTTGTGTTTTTGAAAGTTCTATAAATTTTTTATTTGTACTGTGATTGCTACAAAAACATATCAAAATTTATAACTTTTCATTACCTTTTATATCACACTCATTTTTCATTCACAAAAAAATCTATTAATTTGGTTTGATTTGTTTAAGTCTGGTTTGGAGTATTCTTACAAAGATTAATAGATTTATATAGATTTTAGTTTTTATTTTTTGTATATGCAATATTGGTATCATATGAAAGATGATAAAAAAATATGATTTTGGATATATTATTTGTGACAATCGGAGTATAAATATAAAAGTTATGTGAAATAACACTTTAAAAACAGAAGTTTCTTACAGTGTTATTTTTTTTTAATTTTAGTATACTTGTATGTAATATTAATGTCATTTGAAAGAATAAAAATTATAAATTTTGATAATTTGTAACGATTGCGGCACATATAAAAAATTATGACACTTAAAAAGCATTAGTTTCTTAAAGTGCTTAATTTTTTTATATATTTTATATAGTCAATATTGATATCATATGAAAGATAATAAAAAATTATAAATTTTGATGTATTTTTTATAACAATCTAAACACAAATAAAAAAGTTATTATACTTCAAAAAAACAAGAGAGTTTTTTATGGGACCCAATAATCTTTTTCCTCCTGTGTTGCAGTGCTACGTACGGAACAGCGAAACTTTAAGGAAATACTTTTAATTCTACTCTACGTACGCCAATCAGGTTGCAGTCCTTCTAACTTGAGTTAACTCTGACATTAATTTGGGAAATACTTTTAATTCTACTCTATTTTGAGGAAAAACTCGGCTACATAACCGGAATTGGAAGTTGATGATGACGGCTCCGATGATTTCACCTCGTTGATATGTACCCGTGAGCGTAGCTCAACTGGTAGCAAGGGAGTGCCACAAGGGTTAAGTCCCGGGTTTGAATCCCGGCAACTGCGATGAAGGGTTACTATGCTAAAAATGCATAGAGCCTCTGCAAGTACCGGGGATAGAACCACATTTTCTATCTGTCATATTGAGATTATAGTCCAACTTACATCCTCCCAACGTACCGTCCGGTCGAGGTTGGGGGCCCTCAGGGATGGGGTGTCATCTTTTTTTTCACCTCGTTGATATATGTTGCCGGTCATTCTCCTCTCATTCTTCGGCTACGGGAGTTGCAATTACCTTACGGGAGGCAGACTAAAGAAACAGGCAAGCGTCGAAGCGGGTAAACAACGATAGACAAGTAAAAGACAAGTCACGAAGCCAAGCGGCGAAGCAGGTAAACGTGAGAGAATTTGGGGGATTTTCAATTCCAATGGATTCCAACATATTTTGGGAGGATGATTTTCAATTGTATGGAATCCAACAAATTCTATTTAATTCCATTAAAATCTCAATCGTTTAAAATCTTATGAAATTCTGATTGAGGACACTCTCATAGTCATTTAAGTTTGCAACAGCCCCACTATATAATATCTAAACTATATATCATAATTAATACTCTCTCCGTCTCAGTCATTTCTTCCAACTTTACTTTTTGGACCGTCTCAATTAATTCTTCCAACTTCCACTTTTGGAAAAAATATGTGGTTCACATATATTCACCTTTTCTTACACAACTACAACCATACATTTCTACTTTATTCTCACTATCTAAATTTGCGAGCCAAGTCAATTTAGGAAGAACTCACCGAGGCGGAGGTAGTATATATCATTATGGTGTTGATAGAGTATATCTAGAGAGAAGTGAGAGCTAGAGAGAGAAGTGCAATATATGCTTCAATAGAATGATTTTGTAACCCCCATAACTACCCCCAGAGGAAGTATTTATAGGAAAAATACGGGCTGGGCTCCCAAGCCTTGGGCTTGGGAGGTCCATTTACAACTGGACCGCTACTGGGCCGAATACAGAGCCACTGGTGGGCTACATGAATGAATAAATGTAAAATCCGGTTCTGTGAGTCTTCCGTGGCCGACGAGGGTCTTGGCCGACGAGGGCACGGCCGACGAGGACACCCTGGTTCCTTGGCTTCAAGATCATATTCTGAGTTGGCCGACGAGGGTCTTCTGGCCGACGAGGGCACCGCGTAGTGGCTGTGCTTTCTGTTCTGAGTATGTGGGTCCTGGGGCCTAGACCCATATACTCCATCAGGAGTCCCCCACTCTCTAAGCTGAGATGTAGACGAAGTGAAGGAGAGTAGATTTCTGTGCTTGACTTCTTGGCCGATGCGGGACCACGTTGGGCGTTCCCTGTCGCGGCGCTTGGTGGCCCTGTGTTTTGAGTTTGGCCGTTGCCTGCCCCCTGATGCGGCCGGGGAAGGCTATTCGTTCCT